TCTTTTCCCCTTTCCCTCCCCTTTACGGTTTGGTCTTTTTCCCTTTCCTTATTTCCCTCTTGTTTCATCACCCTTCACCTAATCTCCCTTTCCTCTCCCTTCTTTATCCTTCTACGCTTCCTTCCCGCTTTCCTCTCCCCTCTCTTTCTCGCTTTCCTTTCCCCTCATCCTTGCCTTTCTCCCTTCCCCTCATTCTCGCCATACTCTCCTTTTCCTCTCCCTTCTTTATCCTTCTACGCTTCCCTCCCTCTTTCCTTTCCCCTCTCTTTCTCGCTTTCCCTTCCCCTCACCTTCCCTTCATCACCTTACTCATGCGATTCCTTTCCATCACTTGCCTTCTCCCTCTCCTTCCATTCGCCATCAGCGCTCCCTTCCCCCCCCCCCCCCCCCCTTCTCCCTTGTCCTCACTCCTCCTCCTCTCTTTTCTCCTTCCACTCTTTTCCCCTTCCTTATCGCCCCTTCCTCTCTCACCCCCTTCCCCCTCCTCCTCTCTCTTCTTCCACTCCCTTCCCCCTTCCCCCTCCCTCTTACCTCCCCCCTCGCCCTCCTTTGCCTTCCCCCCTCGCCTTCCTCTCCCCCCCTCCCCCCTCCTGCCCTTCCCCCTTCCTCTCACTCCTCTTTATCCTCCCTCCTCGTCCTCCCCTTCCCCCTCGCCCTCCCCCCCTCGCCCCTTTGAGTTCCCCGTCGGCTCGAGAACTCCGTAAGTCGGGACTTTTACACGGCGAGCGGAAACACCTTTTACAAAAGATCGGGAAGAGAAGCCAACTCGTGTGTTTAGGCTGGGCTTTCCACCGCGCGTCGCACTTTTCTGCGTCTTTTTCTTTTTTTTTCTTTCTCTCTCTCTCCCTTTCTCGCTTTTCTCTTCTCTCTCTCTCGGTCACAGTTTCTGTGTGTGTGTGTGTGTGTGTGTGTGTGTGTGTGTGTGTGTGTGTGTGTGTGTGTGTGTGTGTGTGTGTGTGTGTGTGTGTGTGTGTGTGTCTGTCTGTCTCTTTCTCTGTCTGTACGTCTCTCTCTCTCTCTCTCTCTCTCTCTCTCTCTCTCTCTCTCTCTCTCTCTCTCTCTCTCTCTCTGTCTCTCTCTCTCTCTCTCTGTCTCTCTGTCTCTCTCTCTCTCTCTCTCTCTCTCTCTTCTCGCATAAAAGAAAAGGTTGATCTCGTTAAGACTTAGAATCGTGGCGTGAGAGGGGCGGGGGGAGGGGGGGGTGTTGAGCGAGAGAGAAAGGGAAAGAGAAGGACGGGGATAAAAGAAATTACATAGGAATAAAAGGCGGGCGAGAGAGAAAAACTGGAGGGGGGGAGGGGGAGGAGGAGGAGAGTGAGGAAAGAGGAAAGAGAGGAGAGAGAGAGAGAGAGAGAGAGAGAGAGATGAGAGAGAGAAGAGCGAGAGGAGGGAGAGGAGGGAGAGGAGGGAGAGGAGAGAAGTGAGAGAGAAGCCAAGAGAGGGAGAGAACAAAATCATAATACCCACAAAGAAAAAAAAACTCATATGCAAAGACTGAAAAAGGGAAAAAGAAAAATAAGAAGATGAAGAATAAGAAGAAAAAGAAAAAGAGAAAAGGGATCATCGAGAAAGCGCGAAAAAGGGCGAAGGAATATCACGTTGACAGCGCGCGTCCTGGCGAAGGAACTCGACCGAAGGAGCTTGAGGAGGCAACACGAGCCCTGCCTCAGACGAAGCGCCCCCCCCCCCCCACCAATCCTTCATCCTCCTCCTCCTTCTCTTCCTCCTTCTCTCCTCCCCTCTTCCTCCCCACGTCCCCTCCTCCTGCTCCTCTCTTCCTCCCCACCTCCCCTCCTCCTCCTCCTCTCCTCCTTCCCCTCCTCTTCCTCCTTCTTCTCCATCTCCTCCTCTTTCACCTCATTTACCTCCACCTCTTCCCCCTCCTCCTCCATCTCTTCCTCCTCCCCCTCCATCTCCTCCTCCATTTCTTAATCCTCCATCTTCTCCTCCTTCTTTCGTTATCCCTGCATGAATGCCTGCCTGCCTGCCTGCCTACCTGTCTCTGCTTGTCTCTGCCTGTCTGTTTTTCCTATCTGCTTCAACACACACATACTGAATGCCACAGAAACACATATATACATACATATTCATATCACATACATACATACATACATCTCTATCCAAATCGTATACATATGCGTATGTCTGAATAAACGTACATATGTGTGTATATATACTACATACATACAACACATCTTAAATTTCATAAAAAAAAATTACCTCCCACCCAAGAAGTCCACCCACCCAAAATAAAACCCTCCCCCCAAAAAAAAAGTCCCCCCTAAAAAAAATAAATAAATAAATAAACTCAAAGAAAACGAGAGAAAGTCCCTCGCAATCCCGCCCTCGCCCACGACCCCGAGACGCCTTACCTTGTCACGCCCCTTCCTCTTGGTGGACGCCCTCTTCTTGGGGGACTTGCGGAGCGAAGACTTGAAGGAGCCGCGCCGGGGAAGCTTCACGATCCACGAGGGCGGGACGATGATGCTGGAGTGGAGTCCTGCCGAAGGGAACGGGGAACGGGTTAAGGCGAGGTAGATGGATAAATAGATTCGCATGAATGTATACATGTGCACACACACGCATACACATACGTGTATATATACATATATATGTATGCATGTATGTATGTATATATATACATACTTTTATGCATATATTCATACATATACATACATATATATATATATATATATATATATATATATATATATATATATATATATATATATATATATATATATATATATGTATGTATGTATGTATGTATGTATGTATGTATGTATGTATGTATGTATGTATATATATATATATATATATATATATATATATATATATATATATATATATATGTATGAATATATGCATAAAAGCATAGACGTATTATGTATTTATATATATACACACATATATACATAGAAAATATACTATCAATATGATCACAATGTATTAAAAGTAATGGTAAAAAGACAATGATAATGATAATGACAACTGCAATGTCAAGTAACAGCAATTACAACCACCTCCCAAGCATAATAATAATGAGTGTTAAAGATAATAACGATATTAATTAGGACAATGAATATTAATAATACTGCCCATATCACATCGTCAGCACGACTCATGTAATAATAACACCAACAATAACAAGAACAGTCAGAAAACCATCTTCACAAGTCAAACATTACATCAGTCTATCCGACAACATATGAAACAGGGCTTGGCGTGTCCGTAGGCTTTTTACGCACCGCTTATCCGAACCCTGCCGATTCCGCTGATATTTTCAAAGCCGATTAAAAGTGTGGTTTCAAATCTCATCTCAAAAGCACTTGGTTGAAGTGACTCTATAGAGCGAAAATATTCAACAGCAATCTGATTTTTAAATTGTACGGTTAAGTCAAGTCAGGCAAATGTCGAGCAAGCATTCAACACGGAAAAAAATACTTTAGTTCTTGTGTGGATAAAAAAATACGCATAAATAATATATACTTTAGAAAAAAACGTATCATGGCTGTATACTAATGCTAAGATCTGTCACGAGTTATAATGGAAACTGACAGTTTTGTCTGCCGTGGCCGCCGGGGGCAAGAGGTTAAAATATATACATGCACGCTCACACACACATACACATGCAGATATATATATATATATATATATATATATATATATATATATATATATATATATATATATATATATATATATATATATATATATATATATATATGCATACGGTGTGGTATGTATACGTATAAATGTTTACATATAGCGTAGATATTGCCTGTGTATATGTATCTATACACATGTACCTATGCGTATGTATATACATATACAAACAAGCAGACACAAAACACACACACACACAAACACACACACACACACACACACACACACACACACACACACACACACACACACACACACACACATCTACACAAACGACCCACACCCACGCTCTTCAGTCCAGTGACAATCAACCCGACCGGACCGTCGACTGAACTCCCCCCCTCCCCCTCCCCCTCCCCCCCCACCCCCGCCCAGCCACGAAATTCATCTGAAGTCCGAAATTCATTCCACACGCCCAGCTGGACTCCGCACGGCCGCACCTTCTGCTCTCATGCACGGGGAAACAGGAGAATCATGAGGCTGGCTGCTTGATTTCCAGCTAATGATTACATGGCAGGGGAATGTGGGGGGGGGGGGAGGAGCAGAAGGGGGAGAAGGGGGAAGGGGGAAGGGGAGCAGAAGGGGGGAGAGGGCAGAAGGGAGGCCAAAGGGGGAGGGGGAGAAGGGGGAAGGGGGGGAGGGCAGAGAGGGAGGCGGGCGAAAGGGGGAAGGGGGAAAGGGGGGGAAGGTTGTAAGGATGTGGGAAAAGATATAAAAGGAAGGGATAAAAATAGAACTTAGACAACCAAAGAAAAAAGGAAACAACACGAAATAAGAGAGAAAAAAAATAAAAAATCGAAAATAATCTTTTAATAAAATCGAAACACGAATCGAAGTGCAATATCACGTTGCATAAAATCTACGGCAAAGACCCCATGAAACATTCCACATAACTAATGTCAAAAACCCGGAGAGAGATATGCAAATTAAAACCAATATCCAGCGACTCCCCTCGAACAAAAAAGAGTAATAATGAATGAATATATGAATAAATATATAAATAAATAAAATAACAGTGACAGGACCAACAAAACCCAAATCCGATTTAACACCGCCCTCAAAAAAAAAAAAAAAAAAAAAAAAAAAAAAAAAAAAAAAAAAAAAAAAAAATAATAATAATAATAATAATAAATAAATAAGAAATAAAAAATAAATAGATACATAAATAAATAAAAACACATAAAACATTTAAAAAATAAATAAAATGAAAAAATAATAAATAAATAAACGGACATCAAACCCTAACACATGATAAGCAAGCAATAACGGTTAAGTGTCTGCCGTGTCAGCTTTAACACAATCCACGGGGCTCCTGAGCTACAGCCAAAACCCGTGAATTATATACAATGGAAGCTTCTGTCGGCCGCTCTGAAGGTGCTGACCCCCCCCCCCTCCCCCTACGACAGTCCCGATCTTCCTATGTCCTGCGAAAGTGTCATCATCGTTGCAACAGCTGTTGTTATGGTAAAAATAATAACAATAATAACACTTACAATAATTACAATAATAAAAACAACGACAGCAATAATTATAATAATAATGATAAAAACAATAACAGCAATAATGATGAAGTTGATGATGATGATAATAATGATGATGATGATAATTTTATTAACAATGACAATAATAACAATATTAGTTATTATTCTCATCATCATGATAATCACAATAATTATCGGAATACTACTACTAATGTAACAATCATTACCACAATTATTTACAAATCTATTATCACATTCATCATTAATGTTCTACTGAAATTGCTATCATCATCCTTATAACTCACTATCATCAACATTATCATTATCTTTATAATCATCTTTGTCATTATTGCTATCATCCTCGTTTTTAATCACCACCATAATCACCATAGCCATCATTATCATCACCATCATCACTATTATTATTCTTTATCATCATCATCATCATCATCATCATCATCATCATCATCATCATCATCATCATCATCATCATCATCATCATCATCATCATCATCATCATCATCATCATCATCATCATCATCATCATCATCATCATCATCATCATCATCATCATCATCATCATCATCATCATCATCATCATCATCATCATCATCATCATCATCATCATCATCATCATCATCATCATCATCATCATCATCATCATCATCATCATCATCATCATCATCATCATCATCATCATCATCATCATCATCATCATCATCATCATCATCATCATCATCATCATCATCATCATCATCATCATCATCATCATCATCATCATCATCATCATCATCATCATCATCATCATCATCATCATCATCATCATCATCATCATCATCATCATCATCATCATCATCATCATCATCATCATCATCATCATCATCATCATCATCATCATCATCATCATCATCATCATCATCATCATCATCATCATCATCATCATCATCATCATCATCATCATCATCATCATCATCATCATCATCATCATCATCATCATCATCATCATCATCATCATCATCATCATCATCATCATCATCATCATCATCATCATCATCATCATCATCATCATCATCATCATCATCATCATCATCATCATCATCATCATCATCATCATCATCATCATCATCATCATCATCATCATCATCATCATCATCATCATCATCATCATCATCATCATCATCATCATCATCATCATCATCATCATCATCATCATCATCATCATCATCATCATCATCATCATCATCATCATCATCATCATCATCATCATCATCATCATCATCATCATCATCATCATCATCATCATCATCATCATCATCATCATCATCATCATCATCATCATCATCATCATCATCATCATCATCATCATCATCATCATCATCATCATCATTTATCATCATCATCATCATCTTCATTGTTATCCGTTTCATTCCGAGAAGCGAGGATGCGTATTGAGAATGAAATAGTAGTTTTAGGTACAACACGGATGCGTGTGTATATAAAAACATACATGTGGGTGATAGTAAGTGCATGAACACGTGTGCATAAAATATACGTAAAGGTACATGCATACATACGCACACATACGCAAACCCACCCACCCACACAACACACAAAACACACACACACGCATACACACACACAACACTAACAACCAATCACACACAAAAAAAACACATAGGAAACAGAGATAAACCTCTCACCCCCACCACACCCCCTCCCCTCCCATCTCCCCCCGCCCCTCGTCCGTAGGTGCATTTCAGCTTTATGTGGGGCCCTAAATAGCGCACTTTGGGGTAACGACGAGGTGCCCGATGAAGGTAATGAGTGAAGTTAAGGGCGCCGAGGTGAGACCGGCCGACACACCCATCCGTCCTAAGCCCTCTCCTTCTCTCCCTTTCTTCTTCTCTTCCATTCTCCTTCTTCTTCTCCTTCTCTTCAATTCTCCTTCTTCTTCTCTTCATTTCCCCTTCGTTTTTTCAATTCCCCTTCTTCTCTTCCATTCTCCTTCTTCTTCTCCTTCTCTTCAATTCTCCTTCTTCTTCTCTTCATTTCCCCTTCTTCTCTTCAATTCCCCTTCTTCTCTTCCATTCTCATTCTCCTTCTTCTTCTCTTCAATTCCCCTTCTTCTCTTCCATTCTCCTTCTCTTCAAATCCCCTTCTTCTTCTCTTCCATTCTCATTCTCCTTCTTCTTCTCTTCAGTTCCCCTTCTCCTTCTCTTCAGTTCCCTTCTTCTTCTCCTATTCTACACAATCAAATTTCATTTCCCCCCCTTATGCTACACGTAAGCTTCCTTTCTTTTTTCCTCCTCCTTTTCCCTTTCTCTCTTTTCCACCTCCACCGACTTCTTCTTCT